CCCCCCCAAACACATGAACATGCCTGACAACTTTTCTGTGACTCGCTTGCTAACGTCTGGCTGAATATCATCTCTGTTTCAGCGATGTATCGCATTGAGAGCACGGGCAAAGTGTGAACGGGCAGGGAGGTCGGTTAGTGACTGACAGGTACGCCATGCAGCAAATGATTTGTGGTGCTTATTACAGTCGCCGGCTTTTTCCCCTTTTTTAAGAACTACCTTGATTATTGATGCTATCGAGACGTGAAGAGAAATTCAACAAAACAGATACAAAAATTACAAACCCCACATTAAAGTAAAATGTTTGAGTACTTCCTCAACCCATTTAAGGTTCAGTGTGTAGAATTTAGTCATATCTAGTGTTGAAGTTGCATGTTGCAGCTGAACACCCCTCACCTCACCCTCTCCTTCCAAACATGAAAAAGAACCTGTGGTAGCTTCAGTTGTCATAAAAACTCAAAAAGTGTTTAGTTTGTCCAGTCTGGACTAATGTGAAAAACATGGCGGCCTCTGTAGAGAGGACCCCCTCGATGTAAATATAAAGTATTTAAATATAAAGGGTCTTTTCTGGGTAAAGAAAACTATAATTTATGTAATTTAGATGAAATGAACTAGTTAAAACATCATGAGAATTATTCTACATTCAATTTCTGGCAATAGTTCCCTTTCACCTAAATCTTACACACTGGACCTTTAAGCAAAGATCCCAAGAAATCCTATTTATTTTCGATTACTATCGATGAGTGTGTGCAGCTTCTGGGCCTTGGTTGAGGAGGTGCTCTCCACAGTGACATTTATGGACCTTTAATACAAATAGTTATAATAATACTGGTTGAAAGCAAAAGAGGAAAAAATCATGAATAAAAGTCTGGCTGGTGCAGACTTCACTTTACTGTGGATTACATAATAAATGTGCTCACCATATGGTTGGCAAGTCAAACCCAAATACTCACTCCTCTCCTCTCGCTGTGTTGCTTTTCCATCAAAGGAAAACACACACACACACACAGTACACATCCTCAGGTGCTCATACACACACTTACAGAATGAGTACACACGTACAAAATTTCCAGTTTGTCATCTCAGTATTTCGCTATTCTAACACGGGAAACTGAATAATGATTCCATCTTGTTTTGGGGTTTGCTTGAGGCAGCTCAATCAATGTTTGTGAAACTGAACGTCTCTTTCCTGAAGCTAGAAAGATGTAGCTAAGACCGACGGTGTGTGAGGTCATCAGAGCGTAAAGCTGAAGAGGTTCCTATGACAGTGAGCAAGACTTTACAAGCCAGTTTCATTCTTGTTTACAGGAGGTTTAGGTCAAATGCTGCATCCAAATATACGATCCTCTGCAACTCACACTGAGGCTGCAGCCGACAACAGTCAGCCGTACCGCTCATCTTTTCAGGCTCCCAGACGACATTGGCCGAGAGGCGGGTTACATCCAACAAACAGAGACAAACCACCATTCAAAATGTGCATGTCTGTGGACTGCTGGAGGAAGCTGGAGAACATGCGAGCTCCACACAGAAAAAACACTGAGCCGCTCCAGACGAAAACAGGTGACAAGGAATCAAAAACAGGCAAAACTATCACCAGCTGCAGCAGCAAACCACTGCACAAACTGTGTTGATGCTGCAAGATGCCGTCAACACTGATTTGGTTTCATTAGTGGATTCAAACCAAAACAACCAACAAGAAACTACTGACAGACCACAGGCTGTCCACAGGTTTTACTTCAGGTTTTTAAGACTGGATAAAAGCCCTGTGGTTGACACGGCCACAAAGAATGTAAATAAAGATGGACTGCCACTTCCTCCCTCCCAGAACCGAAGCCATAGGATGGTATTGGATACTGGTGCCACCATCTTGCACTTGGAACTTAATTTGGAGTCTGTGTTGCAGTGATCACGGTGTGGCGCCAATATATGTGCTCAACCAATCATAAGTCAGTCTCAGCTGTCAATCACGATATTTCCTGCTGTATTTATAGCACCAAAAAACCAAAACCAAACTTATCCGAAACATGAACACCAGTGTGATAAGAACTAATATGATCTAATTAATCTAATTGAACGTGTTCTTTGACATTTTAGTTTGGTCCATTTCCCATCTACTAACATGGATGAGCTGGGGTTTATGACCTATACCGCACTATCACTTCCATCAATCTTTACCATAGCCAGTAGAAAGATAAACAGGATGACAGCTTCCCAACAGTGAAGCCAAAGCATCTTGATCGCCCCCTGTTGGCTGCCTGTACTATTGCTCATAAATCCTACCTCTTCCATGTTCATTTTTCCAGAAAGTTTGTTTTTTAATTAGATATTTGATGCTATAATAACGTCATCGGTGAGACTTGATTGATGAGACTGTGAGACCCCCAATTGCTACTGTGCAGACTGTGGATGTCCAAGATGGCAGCATTTGTATCTTGGCTTTATTTCTAGATAGTGGAAGGAAATGCGTTTTTTTTAAAATAAATTTGAGGTGAGAAATCAATCATGAAATCACAGAGCCGTGTCTTGTTAAGGTTCGATCAGGTATAAATCATTTGAAAAGCTAACATCTTTTAATGAAAACTAAACTTTTGAAATTACGGTTTGGTTTTGAAAACTTCATCCAGAAAAAAACAGAACTCAACCATAATAGTTGCACTTGCTCTCACCTTCAAGTTCAGGATTTTCTCTCAAAACAGCTTCACATCACAGAAACTAACTCAGTGAACAAGAAAATTAAAATCTAGAGATTCCTCTTTTTTCATCATTCTTTCATCTTTTCCAGATTTCAGGGGGAAGTCCAAACTCTTTTCTCTGGATTTTGGCAAACAGTCAGAGATGAGTTGTCTTAAATTCAAGCTGAGCTGGTCAAAAGCACACGCGAGTCGTGAAGTTTCAGTGCTGAAAGAATGTGAGAGTGATTCTGTGTAGATTACTGCTGTGGTCCCTCGTGGGCTGTGGGAAAAAAGAAATGGGCGTTTGTGCTCCTATAGGCCACATGACATTAAATACTTAAGTGATGTTAAAAGTCTGAGGGAAAAGGGAGGAGGAGGAACCTGTGAGTTAAAGTCTGCAGGAAAAACATGTGTAGAAGTCAGGCTGCTTAAAGCACAAAGACCACGCGGGACAGGAAGTGTAGCTTTTCAGCAGAGGGCACAATAATGATGATTTACTTGTATAGTAATGAAGAATCTGTCGATGGTATTTAATGGTAATGGGAGCTTGTGACAGATGTTGTGTCAGCTCCACTTCCTCTCTCATCGTGGTCATGAAGTCGTGACAGAAAACCTAAAACATATCAGCCAGAGAAGCAGTGTGTGTGTGTGTGTGTGTGTGTGTGTGTGTGTGTAACAGAACCACTGCATCCTAAGGAAGCACTCGTACAGACATTCTTTAACAGAGTGTAAATTAACATTATGCAATTACCTCATGCATATAGTTGAGTGTGTGTGTATATATATATATATATATATATATATATCACACTTATAAATGTGTGTATATATAGCTCATGCGTCTAGTTTAAATAAAACCACAAACAAATATATATACACATGTATCCATTAAGAAAGTTTAAAATTACATTATATATTCTGCATCTAGTTAATTATGTGACATATGAAGAAAATATATATACACACATACATAAGTATATAGATACCCTTTGACAGGGTTTCAAATTACAATTTATAGTTTATTGTATTTGATAGGATAATTTTCCTATATACTATATCTAAAGATATAAACACACACACAGATCTTACATAACTTAAATTATATCTCACATATGTAGGACTAGTATGATAGTAACAGTACACTGGCAGCCTACGAGGACTAGTCAGCATAGCTACACGTGTATATAATGTTTCGTGCCAAAGTAATATAATTCTCCTTTAAACTGCTGCTCACAGACAGTAATAATAGATCCTCCATGATGTGATGCTGCACAGAACCGCACTAAAGGCTGAAAACACGCGCTCCAGTGGTTTTCAAAGTACAGACTGGAAGAGAGAAGTCAGAGTCAGTTACCTCCATCCTGGGGAATGTGCCAGAGATCGTCTCCTCCTGCTCCGTTCACTTTTTTCTCCCCGTGTGTTTGGCTCTCGGATTGAAAGTGTCCGCTGGAGCTCTGTGTTTATATCTGCAGCGCAGTGGAGTCACATTCATCAGCCAGGGGCCAGAGGAGGAGACCAGTTTTACGCACAGTGCGCTCAGCTCCCTCAGCACTGTCAAGTCTGTGGGAGCAACATATCCTACTTCTGCAGGCGAGTTTCAAAATAAAATGCAGAGCAGACACCATGCAGCAGTTAAAGTATTACACCTCAGGGTTTTCCTCTCAGGCTGGTTGGTTTAGAGTAAGAAATTAAAGGATATTTTAATCACAACAAGCAAAGTATGAGGAGCCTCCACAACCTTTATAATCATCGATCAGCATTAGACACAGTGACTGTAAATGGATGTTTTCTTCTTCTCTAGCTTCACTAAGGAGGTTATGTTTTCACCCATTGGTTTGTTTGTCTGCAGGATTATGCAAAAATTACAAAAACCTTCCGGACAGATCCGGGATCCAACATTTTCCCAGAGAATACCTAATGGATCTAGATTTTAAAAAGCCTGGCATATGTAACAGACTGTTCTGTTTTCTATCTAGGAGTTTGTGTAATTTGGTGCAGCTTCAATTGGGTCTTTTTTTTCGTCCTTCAAGGACATTATGTTTTCATGTGTGTGTTTGTTAGCAGGATTATCCCAAAACAACTCTCGATTACCATGATTTGATGAAAGGATGTAGTATGGGTCAGGTAAGAACCCATTCAATTTTGGTGCGGATCCAAGATTTTTGTTTTGTTCGTTTTTACTGCCTTTGAATTTTTCTTACATTTTTGTTGATTGCTCTGAGAATAATTAAACGATCTAGATTAAATTAAACTCACAGTTTGTGAGATTTGGTGACTATTGGGCCTTAGTGGAGGTAAGTGCTCTACTTTTGTTCATTGTTTACAATGACAGCAGGTTTTCTCTTCATCATCAGCACATTTTACAACACTTCAGTTTTGCTAACGGCTAACATGTGTGATTGCACTCTGTGGCCAGTTAAAATCACCTCGCTCCTTCTAATGGATCTTGATCTAGAAAATTATTACATGACACATTTGAAGAACTAATATAGAGTGTGTACAATTTGGTGCAGCTTGATGGAATTTACAAGGACTGTCTTTGGCACAGGTTTTTGTTCTATTAAGTTTTTACTTGAGATATTTAAGAAGTAAAAAGATAAGAATATATTCTTGCCAGTGATCAGAAACAGAACTCAGAGGCCAGAAAAACGTGATGCCGGAGCGGAAATCAGATATTTCACCAATCAGACCACGCAGTGCCACAGAGGGAAAAGAAACGTTGCTTTCTAAGAGCTTAACTCTCAAACATGTTTCAGCCACAACCCATTCACTGAAGTCACCACATGGTTTTTGTTTTTTCCAGCTGATGGAAAACACCTGCTGTGACATCAGTGTTTGAAACCAGGCCAGATGTGTAACAGAGTTTTCTACTCACAGTCATTTTTGCAAAACATTATTTTCATTGTCTGTAATATAAACTTAACATTTCTGTAAGTAATCTAAAACCTAAAACAAAATACAATAACTGGCGTAGCTAAATATACACTTAAACTTATAGAGTTGGCAAGATCTAATTGAAAATGTAATCAATTATTAGAAAAACAACAAATCTATAAAAGAAAATGGGTTGCACTTCATGCATGGACCACAGGTGCAGATTTCCCATTCGGTCAGTTTTAAATGTGCATGTCTGAAATGGCTCATTTTAGGTGTCTGTTCTCAGTCAAAATAAAGTGAGACATGTAAATACAAAAAGTCTTGACTCACAGGTTTGGTGAACAGATCACATGTCTGTGAAGCAGTGTCCAAAACACAGAGGCCTGAAGTGAGGTCAAAAACTAAAACCCTATGAAAACCAGGAGCAAACCAACTGATGAAGATAAGAGAGACACACACAGGTGAGTATGATTCAATTAGAGGGAATGAAGTGACCAAAGATGAGACTGTGTAGAGGCGACAGGAAGTGAAGGCCAAAATAAAACAGGAAATTACACAACACAAGGGATGACAAGAAAATAATAAAACTGTGGCAGAGACACAGGAGGAAGGGTGAAAATTAAACACAGAATATAAATCCAACCATTTTTAATCAAAAGTCCTGGTCAACTGGGAGGAGACCCCGAGGTAGATCTAGAACGCGCTGGACTGGGAACACCTCTGGATCCCCGGGAGGAGGTGGAAAGTGTTGCTGGGGAGAGTAATGTGTGGAGAACCCTGCTTTGTCTGCTGCCTCTGTGACCTGACCTCAAATAATTGGAAGAACTGGATGGAAGGAGGAAATGCCTGCAGTTCAAGCTCCCTCCCCTACTAGAACCACTTAATATGCATGAGTATCATTCATACAAGTTGCTGCTTCTTCTTCTCCAAGTGTATTACATTTTTGCACACATGTTGACTTTCGCTCACAGCTGGAAAACAGGCCAGTGTTACAATTAGCGGCTTTTCTTCGCATGCTGGGTTTTTTCACGTGAGGATGAAAGATGTGTGAGCAGCGAGCCCGCCGTCCTGCCTGAGGCCTGGAGCAGGAAGAGGAACCAGTTGCTCCGGCAGCTTGTGGCCGCTTCTTCACCATCAACCCACCACACAGTTGTTTCTGCTGCTGGTAGAGCTCCTTATTGCTTTATCCCTCAGGATAGATGTGTGCGTCTTATTTGGGTTTTAGTGGTCAAACAGCCGAAAGCAAGTTGCGATCCAGTTTCACAAGTTTGACATTGGCAGAAAAACGAGTTCTTCACAAACACTGTTCATGAACAAACACAAATGTACATTAGCCTCCAAATTGCAGGAAACATTGACTCTTGGAAAGTGTTTTACTAAAAGCTTGAGAAGATGAGGTGATTAGTGCTTTATAAATGAAGCTTATTATCATTATTAAGGCCATTAGAGGCTTTTAGGTGCAGTGGGAGTTTCTCGTGGTTTATAAAAGGCAAAGACGGACTGAAGGTTTGTCGTCAAAAAGGTTTAGATTCAGGGAAGAGTGGGTCGCGGTTACAGGGAGAGCAGACAGAAACGAGAAGGAAAGACCCCCTACCCCTTAATAACCTCCATTTTAGCCCAGCCTCCTGTCGCCACATGGAACAGCAGCCACAGGGTGCCAAACAGGAAGTGAAAAAGTGTTTGCTGATAATTACTGGAAATGGAGAAGCCGATAAAGAATTATTACAAGGAGAAGTGAAGCCTTTATCTGTCGGAGCAGTGTTTCCATTTGATTAAAAGCCAAGTCTGACCAATTGTTATCAATGTTTTAATATTGTTGTAATTTGTCTGCACTCATGCACGTGCATGCACAGTTTGCTTCTCCAGCAGCTTTATACTTTGCCTCCCTCCTCTGGTGGAAAAGGACCATTACACTAAAAAGATGTTGGTGTATGCAGCTCTGTCAACAGAAATATTCACTAGATTAGATGACTTACATTTGAACTGCAGCTAGTTTCTTGGACACATCATCAGTGAGGAACCCTGCAGGGTCACAGAGTGTTCGGCTCCATCCGGGTGAGGTCAGTTTTATGTCCAAGTTAAAATCATCACCATGCATCACCGTTCTTAGGCCACAGTCACCTCGACTCCTTTTCTGCGGCCTCACTGATCTTCTGGGTGATTCTTCTCTCCTGCGACGGCCTGATACCACGTAGACTGAGAGCTCCGTGTAGACGCTGCCCTGAGAAACCCCTGCAGCCTCATCGTCACTGGGCTCACAGCTGGCCTTCAAGCACATGCCGTCCACATGCCGCAGTGTTTCCAGATGGGAAATGTTGAAGTTTCGTACCAGAAGCTTAAAATAATCGTATTTTGAGAAAAAATATCGTAAGACCAGAGAATGATCATTTTTGTTATCATTTGTTTTGAACATTTGTTTCTAAACACTGCTCCGAGATGAGATTCAAAACGGTCATGTCACGTCACCTCGAGCGTTCATCATCACAAGCATGATTGGCTGGAAAGACGTCACACGAGAATAGAAATGTAAATACAGACTTGATCTATATTTTTGGTGTCCAGATTACAACTGATAAAACCAAGTGTCACCAAATTATCTAATTATCCTACATCATGGGGATTTTGTCATTAATGATCGCACATCGTACAAAGGGCAAAATTATCATAAAAATATAATTATAGATAATTTATCGTACAAATGGAAACACTGACCACCATGATATTTGACCTACAGCCAGTTTCCTTGTGCAAAGCATAAAGACATGCTATGACACAGGAATGCATGCATGTGTAAATGTCTATAGTTTCTACCAAACAGGATATTCCATTGGCCCCTGTGAGATGAATATGATGCCATTTCCTGAAACAAAAAAAAAGGCTCTGAAACGTTAAAACTCAGTGATTGAAGAAATTGAATAAAAAAAGGTTTTGGATGATTGACACTAGGTTTATAAGAATGACCAGTTATTAAATCCAAGGGTTTGCTCACTTATTTCTAATTTGTGTGTTATTGGATTGTGTTGGTTTGCACTCGGTCCACAGGAGAAAATGAAATCTCATTTTATGATCAATTAAAACAGGAAACCAGGTCATTTTAAGACTTCACATAACTTGTCTCATCACTTGTCAGTTTAAAGAAAAAGATAAATCAGATAAATAACTGCCCTCACTGGAGAGGAATAAGAATATCAGTGCAATGAAGAGCACACATTTTTTTCGATTTTACATTCAGAGACCAAAGTTGAAATTTTAAGATTTGACTGTGTTTTCTTTTGTATATCAAGAATAAATCTGCAATACTGAGAGTAAATTTGAAATTTCAAGAGTCAAACGTGTAACAATATATATCAAACTACCTCAGCTGGTAACATGCAAATTAATTAAGTTACTTCAACTTAAAATGAAATGAACACAGTCGCTAACTAAAACAATGTGTGGTGCCAATATTAGGATGTTTTTTGAGTTTGCTTCTTTTGAGAATTCACTTAAAGCTCATAAACACAGTGTGGCGTCAGCATTAGGTCACTGAGCTCGAGCTTTGAAAGATGGAACATATCTGTCACTCCCTCCTCTGACTGGATTTGATGAACCAGAGGAGTCAACATTTCACCTTGATTCAGGAAAAGAAAATCTTCCTCCTCTCATGTCTGGCCCTGGTGCTCCTCTATATTTTACAGACCCAACAGAGGTGTGCAGTTTGTTGATTTAGTGGAAGTCTTGGCCTTAAAGGAGAAGCGGAGGTGATACAAACTGTATATTTCTGATGCCGAATGTTTTGAGTTGGTGTGAAAAAGGCCCCGGGGAAGATGTTGACCTGTGCCGCTCGCACACACTCTCTTCATTATCAGCAAAAAAAATAACCGAGTGAGGTCGAGGTGCTTGTTGATCTTTCCCCAGGTGATGGCAGGATGGTCTGTGGGACGTAAGCTTTTTACATCCCACGTCGCTCCAGCTCCTCTGGCAGACAGAACGGCTCGGCACCAAAAAACTGTCATGGGGATGAGTCAGCCCAGAGCGACTTCGTCTCTTTGTATCTGTGCAAACCAAGGCCTGATGATTCATGGGCAGAATCATGACAGTTTCTTTTAAAGAGCAAGATGGATGGTCGACAGAAACCTGGTAAAGTCTGGGTTTATTTCGGGATTAGACATTGTTCAGGTTACAATTACATGTACACGTGTACAACTTCTCATTTAAATGCAACATCGAAAGAAGAGTTGTAGAATCAGGATTATGTAAGTGTGGGGCAATAAAAGCAATAACCTCTGCCACAGCTGACAACCTAATATATTTTGTCCTCTTTGAAATACACTTAGAGCGGCCATTACTCTGAATATGGTGATGCAGGGACGTCGTCTGCCAGTGTAAATCCAATTCAGAGGCCAGGTAATAAAATAACCACGTCAGATTACATGTGACGGCCGGCACGTATGCAGCTCCCAAAACCTCAGGGCTCAGGAGGCCTCTGGAACACACACAYACACACACACACACACACACACACACACACACACACATACATGCACGTGCACACAGAGCCAGAGAAACAACTGCCCTATTTTCATACTTATCTGCTATTATTAAGTCATGTTCCATCTATTCGCTGTAGAGATTGCACACAGCCCTGCAAAACACACACACACACACACACACACACACACACACACACAGACACACACCGGAATACCCCATCTCACATCTGCACAACTAATGGTCCACGGCTGATTGGTTATTTACTTGTTTTCTTTCCTTTGATTTATGACAACAACAAACAGCACGATAACAATTGTTCGACATGCATTAAACAAATTCAATCACACGTCAGAGGGGAGCCGAGACCACAATTAAACATTACAAATGAACAGTCACATGTGGCAAAACATCGTCTGTCAGTAACAAAGACAAATCGTGCATTAATGCGTGCAGCGGCCTGATGATAATTGTGAAGTGAAACCGTGCAGGTACTGTCGCCAAACAAGAAAAACAAGTAGCCGCGCACAAGCTAGAGGTAAATACTCTTGCATTAAGTGCATAACACTGAGACAGGAGAATATAAATTATATTTTTTGCTCGGAATCTAACATATTAGTATTTGCTTGACATTAAAACTACATGTGACATGGTTGACACGGTCCCTGTGAACAAAGTGCTGCAGATGTTGTACTGAGGTGCTGCAGCTCTCAGCCCTGAATTCCCACTTTTCACTGCACGTGTTCAACGAGTTTCCTCTTCGGCTCGAGCAGCTCAGTGCGCCTCAGACGCCGGTCAGGCTTTCGTTCAGGGTGGAGATGTGGCTGGTCACGCACAGTTGTCTCTGGCCGTGGTGGGCTTGTCTGGGCCGCTGGTGCAGCAGGAAKAGGCGCTTGGCCGCCGCCCTGTACTTCCGGGACATGAGGTTGTAGACGACAGGGTTGATGGAGGCGCTGAGGTAGCACAGCACCATGGAGGCCATGTTGAAGTTCTGGCTCAGCATGGCCGTTTCGTAGTCATCTACCT